TATCCTATACTGAAATTATGCTTGCTTTCATAGTGCTAAATTGGGTAGAGGCACACCAGCAGGGGAATTTTACCTGCTTTTATAATATTACTATTAAAATTGAAAAATGCACAAGACAATTACGCACATATTGAAATTTTATATGTTCTAAAAAGTGCGCCTAGGCTAGACCTACTGTAGTAGCTTCAGCAGTACCTAGCCTAGTCTAGGCCTACGGCTGGTCTACTGAGGTCTAACACTAAGAGCCTCAAGATTTAGATATAAACGACTGGTGGTAGTAGTAGGCCTGGGCAGTATCCTTTACTGAAATTATGCTTGCTTTCATAGTGCTAAATTGGGTAGAGGCACACCAGCAGGGGAATTTTACCTGCTTTTATAATATTACTATTAAAATTAAAAAATACACAAGACAATTACGCACATATTGAAATTTTATATGTTCTAAAAAGAAGCCTTCTACAACTTCTTCAATACGTATCATTTCCAGTGCGATAATCAATTCAAACATATCATAATACGTTATATAGTCAGAAAAATATTTCAGAAATAACCTACATCATAAGCCTGTGTGTGTATTTGTCATACACTGCAGCATATATCACTACAATTCTTAAAAATTTCCTTGTAGAATATTTTTTTTTATACCACACAGATTAAACAAAGGTACACCACAACACATTAAAAAACAGTAGCTCATTGAATTTGATTTTAATTTTCCAGTTTTAATAAGTATTAGGGATTGCCACTGGGCCCATACTTAAATAAATTACAGTAATTATTATAAAGGTAAGCAATCAGTTGAATTATCAGGAATTTAGCCAATAATACAAAAATTATTCCTATTGTGAAACAATTCATAATAAAATATAAAATTGTGTAGACAATTTATGTCAACCAATATACAAAATGTACCTGGTTTAGGTTATGTTTAAACGTTGGTCTAAAGATCATCAGTATGTTTTTTTTTTAAAGAGATGAAGACATAGAGGAGGAGAAAGAAAAAGAGGAGGAAGAAGGGACGGAGGAAGAAGCAGATGAGGAAGAGACAGAGGAAGAAGCAGAAGAGGAAGAGACAGAGGAATTGTAAGTTATATGGTAAAATATTATTTTAAATTACTGAGTTTTGTTGGTACAAGTTAAGTTAGATATTAATATCATATCTGAAGCCGGGTACTCACTGAGCCCGACAGTTGCCAGCTGACATGATTTTACACAAAAAAAAAGCGATGATGCACGAGCAACAGATCTTTTTGAATGGTGATCCATTCAGCATTCAGACTGACACCGACAACAGACAGAGTCTCATCATCTAGCGCTGAGAGAGAGCAGAGTTGGATTCGTCGTGTGATGGTCATAAGACTGTCATAAGAAGAGAAGTTGATGAGTAATAAATATAGATCGTTATTTTTATTATAAGGTTCCCGTGTACGGCCGAACCGGTCCTACACCCTAGAGAATAGCACATGTAAAGTTCGTTTACGTCGGTTCTTTATCTTGGAAAACAAAAGGATCGGTAAGTTCAGTAAGTTTACATTGCACAAGAACGTATATGGCTATGATATATCCTTTTTTAATTTCCAATTATTACTTATAGGCACTCTTCGGTAAAGTTAAAGCGACCTAGGCCTAGGCCTAGACTAGGCCTAATTAGCCTACTGTACTACTAGTACTACTACTAGGGCTAGGCCCTAGGACTAGGCATAGTCATACCTAGGGCCTGGCCCTAGGCAGGCTAGTTGAAGATTGAAAGTAAGTAGGCAAGGCCTAGGACTTGCCAGGTTAGGCCAGATAGTGTACCAAGTTAGTTTAGCTAGGCTACTGCAATGGAAAGCAGACGTTCAAGATCTGGCCATCAACATTTGGGAGCGATACTTTGATTACCAAAATATAAATGAAACGATTTATCTTCTCCTCGACATTTTGGCACCTTTTCTAAAAGAATATGTTTTCCGACAAAAAACAAACACGAAACTTAAGTACATCATTAATCGATTACTTGCCTCGGCCTCAAACCTACAGGGGTATAGACTGACACCAAACTCACCTTCCTATCATTTATGATTAGGATAAAGAAGTTATATTATTTTGAATTGTTTCACATCTGTTAACTTGTGAATTTCTTTTTCCTGCACTCTCTCAATTTCGTTTATTGCCCTGTTCCGTTTTTGGACCAATTTTAAAAAATAAAGGTGTCAAAATACTGAAGACAATACTTTTTCATTAAGATAATTATGTACATTTGATATAATTCACCCATTTATAGCCCACAAATAATAACTCTAGAGTTGCAATCCCATAATAAACCGAATTCGAAAGAAACATTTTCTACATTGTTGGAATATTAGAGAAGTGAAGTGAAAATAACTAATAAATTGAGCTTTTTCAGTGGAACTTAATATCTTCCAGTTAAATGGTAAGATGTACTGTATGGATAAGGTGTGTTGCCAAACAATAATTGTCATTTTATTCTGATTATGATTGCTTGGAGACTGTATGATCCAAATGAGTTTGGCATTTGACAAATTACCATGCTACTTTTCAACTTGCCAGAATTTAACCCACAACTTTTGATGGTTAAAATATTTATAATCTTCCAACCTTTGGAAGAAAACTATTTAAAATATGCTTTCTTAATGTTTAGACGTAATTACACAATAAAATAAATGCATTGATTTAGTTACAAGATACATGCTACAATTATGTGCCCAAAATCCAGGATGTATTTTTTTTTCTTTGTCTGAAGTTATAATTGTTTAGTGTTGTCAGTCCTGAATTTTCTTTTTTCCAGCAACATGTGAACAAAAAACACTCCAGAAACTTTATTCCCATTTCAAGCCTAGGAGATTTATCCAGTCCAGAGCGAAACTCAAGTCAAGAAGAGTACCTTGA